GGAGAAAATCCTCAGCGAGGGCGTGGCCGGTGAGTGCTGCATGCTAGGCGCCCAGCAGTAGTAACTCTGCGTGGTCCCTCCTCTGGGCTCTGTCCACCCACACAAAGTTCTTCTTAAGCCCCCATGCAGACACCTGTTTCTAGATCGACCTGACACACCCTCTGTTGCCACCATCCTCCCTACGCCTATCCCTACCCCACACCCACCTGCTACAAGCTTCAGTGATCTTTGTTGAGTGGACTCATTTTTCCATGCCCTAACTCAGCACGGCTGGAGGTCGTGTTTTCCACCCTGAGCACCACCTCTGGGCTTTTCTCTAAGGCAATCAAGAGTGGGCTCACAGAGAGGACCGAAGGAGCAGAACCCCACCACGATCCCTCCCCAGAGTCCCAGACTCCTGCAGAACACAGGGCGGGGTTGACAATGGAGGCCACGACTGTCACCTGAAGACAGTGGGGCTAAGTATCCTTCCGGAGCGTGGGCTGGCTTCCTCTTACTGTTCTGTCAGTTGGCGATTCAATCAGTGAGCCTCAGGGAGCAGCCTTGCACTGTATTGTAGGAAGAACAAGGCTCCCAGATATTCCTTTCCAGCAGCTTCGTCTTCTACACGTTGCCGGGGGCAAAGGGCTAGGGTCCTGGGTGTTCCTCTTCTGTCTACGGTTGACTTGGTCAATAAGCATCTTGTCAGTTGTCCCTGAGGAGCAAGAAATTAGTACCCCCCAGCCACTCCCTGCACATCATCAGGTCCGGCAGGGTTACTCTGCTTGGCATAAGATGGCTTCTGCATCAGGGGAGTTAATGGAGAAGATGACGTGCACGTTGCTACCTGAGTAACAAAGAGTCGGTCCAGGGATCTCAAACTTCAGAGTCAGGTGGGACACATACGTAAGTGAGGCAGCTCAGTGTAATACAATGGGGAGTGGAGAGGACTGTGGCCTATCCCCCGCCCCAACTCCAGCCAACGTGAGGCATGGCTGCTTCTCCTATGTGTCCAGTACATGTCACTGCAGTCCCACAAAAAGACCCCACTTTATCAAGAAGGGCATCAAGACCTACAGAGGTCTAGAGCTGCGAAGGTAGAACCATCAGGAGCCAGAAACCCTAGTCCCCTAACTGATGGTCCTGGCTGGCCTCCTTCTTTTTTTTTTTAAATTTTATTTATTTATTTTGAGAGAGACAGAGCGTGCAAGTGGAGGAGGGGCATAGAGACAGGGGGAGAGAGAATCCCAAGCAGGCTCCATGCTGTCAGTGCACAGCCCGACACAGGGCTCGAACTCATGAAGCCACGAGATCATGACCCGAGCCAAAACCAAGAGTTGGACGCTTAACCAACTGAGCCACCCAGGTGCCCCGTGGCTGTCCTCCTTCTGTATGACACAAACACTCCCTGCTGTTGACCGCTGGGCAGGCAGGGTAGGGACACATCTGACACCCAGAAAAAAACATGACTTCAAAGTCCTCTGTAACACTGGTGCCCTCGGGGGGGTTCCTCGGGAAAAGGCCACAGCTGGCATTAATGGGGATGCTGTTTCTGAATGTGGCTCTATCAAGAAGTGAACAAAAGACGAGGAAGAAAAGCCGGCTTAAGGTAGAGGCCTTTCAAGTGCTGGCGAGGTGGGTTCAAGAGCAAAGCACGGCACGGTGGACGGGCATTCTGCTTCTCTTTAAAGAGCACGGATTTATCCACAGCAGGCCACATGAATGAAATGAGAAGTCTTCAGAGCTGCCAACCTCTTGCCTCAGGTTTTGCAAGAGTATATTTCCAACACAATGCGAAAGGGAAAAATGACAGCCAAGTTTAACATTGCGTCTGCAGCAGGTGGCCCAGGGACTGCCGATGATGGATGCTAAGTAACTGGCCAGGGGAGGCGCTAACCGTCTGAGTGCGTGTGTCCTCCCCCAAATTCACAGGTCACAATCCTAACCCTCAATGTGATGCTGTTAGGAAGTGGCGCCTTTGGGAGGTGATCAGGTCACAAGGGTGGGGCCCCCAGGATGGGATGAGTGCCCTCTCTGTAAACCCCATGGAGCACCCTCGCTTTCCCCACCACGCGAGGCTAGAACAAAGAGGGGGCCTCACCTAACTGTGCTGGCTCCCTGATCTCAATCTTCCAACCTCCAGGACAGTGAGCAATAAATTTCTGTTTATAAGCCACCCAGTCTCTGGTGTTGTTCCAGCAGCCCAAACGGACTCAGACAGTAGGATCGAATGAATTTTCATATAAAACCATTCCTAACTGTAGCTTCCAATGGCTGGATCATGTTTTGTCTTTACTGGGGCAGTGTGGGTAAAGAATCCAACTTGAGTATTTCCCCAGTTAGCTCACCAGCTGCCCCAAGACTACTTGTTGAGCTAACCTTTGCTTCCCCTTAACCCCCTGGAGCCCCCTTGACAATATATTAAATCCTTACTTGCAGCTGGTGAAGGGTGGGGGTCAGGGACTGGCTTCTGTGGTCACAGGAGATCCCAATGCCTGCTCTGTCAGTGTTTCCACTGGGCCAAATCTTTTGGGGCCCAGTGGATCTTATTTTTAAAACCAAAATATGGAAATTAATATGTCTCTTGTACCCAGCCTGGCACATGGTGGGCTCAGGCAGATGAGGTTACTAATATTTTGCACCGATCTCTTGGAATCTGCATCCCCGTCCCAGGAATATGTTTTTTTTTTTTTTTTAAGTTTATTTATTTATTTTGAGAGAGACAGCGTGAGCAGGAGAGGGGCAGAAAGAGACAGAGAGAGAGAATCCCAAGCAGGATCTACCCTGTCAGCACTGACTCCAACACAGGGCGCAAACCCATGAACCATGAGATCATGACCTGAGCCGAAACCAAGAGTCAGACACTTAACCAACTGAGCCACCTAAGCGCCCCAGGAAGATGTTTTATTAACGTGTCCACCTGGGACAGGGATTATCACCTGGATTGGAGAAAGCATCACTCTTAGGAAGTAAATTTTGGTGGGAAAAGAGACTTTTTCATTTGGGAAAAAAAAACACATATTCTGCTATACTGTGTGTTTGAAAATTTTACATAACTCATATTTTGTGAGAAAAACCATAGAAAATACTGCTGGACAAAACCTTGCTGAGTTTGAATATAGAGAAAAATCAAGACTTTTAATTGGGGGCGTCCTGTCAGGGGAGCAGTGAGAATCAAGGAGGGATTTTATGTCACTGTAAAGTGGAACCTTAAAGTGTTCAGAGGAGATGATTTAATATAATAATGGATTTTCTGAGCCAGAAGGAATCTTAACGATGCCCTGAGGACTCTAACCCATCTCTTCATTGGGGATCATTCATCATGTCATTATCTAGTAGCATATTTCCTCCAGAGGGAGAAGGTCTGTCCCATGGCCAGACCCAGGAAGCCCTGACTTCACCTCTTTACCTCTCCAGGAAGGAGGACGCGGCCACTGGCGTCACACAATGACGGGGTTCAAATAAGACGGGGAATGAGTAACGTCCATTGCGAGATACTCACACAAGAGCTCTTCTGATGGTGTGATGAGGACGTAGACCAGATGGGAATGATGCCAGGAGGGGATGGAATGAGAACACAGATGGTTAGTATAGACAGTGCATTAAGAAGTTTGCAAAGTGCTGGCAAGACACAGAGAAAGAAGTGAGGGGAAATGTCAAATTAAGGTTGGGGTGTTTATTTCAGAAAAGCAAATATAAGTATATAAATGCTAGCGGGTATGAGCCAGTAACTCAGGAGCTGGGCTCCTGAGCCAGTCTACTGGGATCAAATCCTGGTGTCCCTACTTTGTCCCTGTGCTACCCTAAAAAAAGTATTTCAACTTCTCTGTGCCTGGGTGTCGTCTTATATAGAATGGATAAGATAAATATCAGAAGTATTACAGAGCTGAAAGGAGGCTGTTGACTATAAGGAAGGGAAAAGAAAGAGTAGAACAAGAGTCTCAAAAGGCAGGAAGCAATGCAATTCAGAGCCCAGGTGGAAGCAGTGGGTTTGGATAAGAGATCAGCCAGCTTCTCTGTTTTAACAAAGGAAGGGAGGGGGCAGGCTCCTTCTATTTACAAATATTCGTTGGGCCCTGATGACGTCCTGGCGCTGTGCCCAACACTGGGGGCGCAGCAGTCAACAAGACAGACACAACACTTCCATCACAAAGCTTACATTCCAGGGGCAGAAGCAGACAGGGCGCTTAATACACAAACATGGTGATAAGAAGACAAAAGGAGACAGGAGTGAGAAGGGCCAGAATGGGAGAGGGGGGTGGGAAGAGCAGAGCAGATGCTATTTTATGGGATGGATGGAGAGGTCTCTCTGAGAAGGTGACATACGAGCCAAGGTTTGAACTAGCAGGGAGAGAGCCATGGAGATATCTGTAAAAAGAGTGTTCTAGGGAGAGGGCACAGCCAGTGCAAAGGCCCTGGGACTGTAGCACCCCTGGGGGAACATGGGTAGGTGGGCAGTAGTATTGGAGGTGAGGCTGGGATTTCCCTTCTTCTTCCCCAAGCCATGCTTCTGGGAGGCTGAATCCTCTTCTCTACAGCAGAGGGACACTTTTAGCTTTTATGACTCATCTATTCATTCAGCAGCACTCTCCAGAGCATGTTTGATGTGCAGGAGAAACACACCCACCCCTCGCAATATGGAGATGAGCAGGACCTTGTCCTATGCTTGGCCGCGTTCTGGCAAAGCCACATGCTAGGCGACACTGCAAGTGGTAGGGAACACTTGGGTGCAGATACAACCAGGACACTGAGTAGGACAAGTGCACTGGCTCGCTGTAAAGTGGGGTCTTCAGAATGGGGGCAGGAGTCCGGAGGACTCAGAAAAGCCTCCATAGCCATGAACAACTTACAGAAGTCTTCTCTGCCAACAGCTTTACTATTTCCAGCTCAAGCGACACAATAAATATGTCTCCTCTCTGACTTACAGCTGCTTTGGTTTCTGGGTTTTTGAGTGCTCAGGATTTTGGAATGAAGCATTCTCTTAGAAGTCTTTCTATTATAAAGTCCATCGCCTTTATAGCATGGGTGTGGATTGGACCATCGATGAGACCCACATGGATTGGTAATCGGTGCCTCAGTGTACTCTGAAAGGGATCTGGTTTGGATGATAGGTCATATGGCCCCCCTCTCCCCCACCCCATTACAAGGGACAGTCTGACGATGAGAAAGGATCAGGAATAAACATGGTACAAAATGTTTGGCGTCCGAGTGACTTGTTTACTTGAATTTTGATGTGCAGATGCCTCACCGCACCTTTATATGAAGATGAGGGAAATTGGCTGGCACATAATCAAAGCCCTAAGTTCACACAGATGTTTTCTGAAGTTGAGCAAAGGGAAGAGCCATGAGCTGGTTGCTTTTTGTACACCGACAGAAGCTGAGTAACAAGCAAAAGTTTGCTGAAATCAAAGCAAATGGATAAAATTTAATAATTTAATAATAAGCTAATATGTAAAGTGAGGACAGCAGAGAAGGGAGCTGAGTAGCCAACAGGGAGAGCGCAGGGGCATAAGAGAGACACCCACAGGGGTGTAAGAGCGACACCTGCGAGCTTGCTGACATAACCCTCCTCCCTGGCATCTACAGCAGATATCTCAATCGCCATGGCAACACCACGATCAAGGTGGAACCCCACACAGGTGTCTTCAGAGCTCTGTGCCCAGGGTGTTTCAGTATCTGTGAGGTTCAAGAGCTTCTGTACAGTAAGACTTGCTGTACAGGAAAAGGTGTCTCAGAGACTGTTGGGCACATCAGTAAAACTTTAGGCTTACCTGATAAGCAAGAAGCTGAGTTCATGGAACCAGAGGGGAGGGACAAACTGGTGACAGACATGGGTGGCATGGAAAATAAGTCTAAATTTGATGGAAATACCATACCCAAAGCGTCACCTGCTGCCTATAAAGTCAGAGCTGCTGTGACCTTTACAGTGACACGCAGTCCTGGCTGGCAATCCAGAAGTGACTGGTCAGTTCCTGCTTTCTATGTGATCCACGGTAGTTGTCATGGTGGGGAAGAGCTGGCAGTGCGGGAGGACATAGTCCTCCTGGTTGGAGCTGTGCCCAATCAGAAGGACATCATCAAAAACAAATATAGCAAAGACACCTCCCATGTGCAGGATGAGGGGCATTTTGCTCTTGACTTCCTAGAGCAGAGGTCAGCAAAGTGTGGCTCACAGGCCATAATCCAGCCAACTACCTGTTATCACGTGGCCCTCAAGCCAAGAATACTTGGACATTTTTTAAAAGCCAGGGTAAAAAAAATCAAAGGAAGTCTAACACTAATATCGAGTGCTTTATAATATGTCCTGCAGTGTTCTAAAGCCTTGCATTCATTAGCACATGCAATCTTTACAGAAACCCCATGAAGTAGGTAGTGTTACTCATTTTGTAGACGGGGAACCCAACGGAAGCTTCTAGATAGGTTAAATAATAGTCAGAGGTCGCACCACTAACGATTAGTCCAGCTAGAAGTCAGACCCAGGGAGTCATCCCAGAGCCTGTGTTCTCAACCCGCATCCCCATACAGAGTAAGGGTAGGTAGAGTAGAAGTCTGAGAGATTCGAGTCTCATGTTCCAGTGGGTTCATGGGAGGGAAGATAACAGTGTGGTGGAGAAGCAAGGGAACGGAAGGTTTTGTGGAGGAATGATACAGGAAGACTATTAACTCTGAACCTCAATTAGGCAAATTCTAATCTCCCCCAAAAAGAACTATATTCT